GACTACGTAAAAAATGCGAAAGGAAAAATCAAGAACATTTCAAAACAACTTCCACTTTAACTGTTCTTCGCTATGATTAATCTAACACTTTTTCTTCCATTTTCACAACCCAATGAAGCAGTGGTCAAGGCATTAATAATCAGCCAAACAGAAGTAGTCATAATACAGCTTAGAAAAGCATCTTCATATACAGGAAATATAAATAAGTGAAGGCGGCTTTATTCAGTATAAAATAACCTTGACACTGAAAAGAAAACCGGCAACTGTATAACAGTAAGCGGAAATCTGACAAACTATACAGGAATACCCCCTCGAAAGAACAATGCAATGATTACCATAAAATCTTTAAAATTTACCGGTAACTCTGCAACACCAAAAACATATCTGCAACTTCTGTCCTTAACTATCCAAAACCCATTCAAGACCTTGATGAAAACACTTCAATATTTTCTCAAATAAAAAAAAAAAAAAGTCGAACCACACCAAACAAATTACCTTCTTACCACTTCACAACACATTGGTATGCTTTTGAAACAAATTACATTATGGCGAGAAGTATAAAACTCACACACACAATATGAGCAAGCGATCACTGATACAAAACTCTAAATTCAAAGTGAAGTAAGTCAACCAAATCCAATTAAATGAAAAAAAACCTTACCACTTAAAGCTAAAGTACTTATGATGTTTTAATAACAAAACAAGACCAAAAAAAAAGCATGGAATAACAATTATTATAATAAACCTACATATAAAATGTACAAAAATCTCCAACAGTTAGTGAGCATTAAAAATTGAAGAATTAGCTGTATACCCCCATGAAAGTGTGAAACCAGGTCTCAAAAAATTATGTACCTTAAGAGCATAATGACACTCATGGCCCGTCAAAGATTAGAAAGAGCTAAAGAACGCATACTCTATACAGATCCAGAGCGATATGATTACAAAAAGTCTCAACACTATAGAACCAACTGAGCTTTTAAAACGTCTTTCAACAGTTAGGCGAGTCGATAACGATTTACACTTTTTACATACAATACAGCAGTGATCAAAACAGACCTTCAGTGAAAAATAACCTTCTGAATTTACTTAAAAATCTCGGCTCCCGAAATCATATAGCGCTTCAATTTCAAACATTTGGAATAAGACTAGAAATTAAAATTTGATCGGAAACTACAATAAATAGTAAGTTGCGAGATTCGATAATAACCTGTCAAGAGAGAACCGTACTTTGTAAATAGTTTTAAGTAAGAAAATTAATAACGAATTCCAAAAAAATAATTAACAAATTTTTAGTTCGGCTTCATTTCACCACCACTCTCACTAAATCTGTAAGACTGTGTCCTGACTAACTTCTTAAAAGACACATCCATTGGTCAGATGGAAGTGTTATTTATGATCAAAGCAAAAAGCACTTTCACAAGAAAATACTTACAACACTAAAGTACATACATGACATACAGTTAAAAAACTTGAAAATAGATAAAAATTATAACGGACTAAGAAAGAAATTCAGTTCAAATTGGGAGCAACTGCTGCATTATCACCAAACTCGACATAAGTAAAAGGAAAAGTTCCTTTCTTTCCCCTGAGTGACCCTTCGCACATTCCAGATGGAAGAAGTTTTGTTACTTCAATCACATCCCCTTTCTGAAATTACCGCATAAAGAAGAATTTCAAAACTTAGCAAATCTTTTATGCAGCAAAACAACAAATATTTAAAAGAATGGGCCATGCATACAACAAAGAACGTAAACCTTGAGCCGTAAAGCATCTTTATCATAAGCGTTAGGCCGTCGGTCAAGAATAACACGGGCCATACAAGGGAAGTGTAACTAAAAGAAATTAACAAATAAACACCAGAATTAACAACTTAGCTCTCCTAATAAGATAAATAAACAAACCTCCTTTACTAATGTTTCACCAGCTGTTGATGCATCACCGTTATCGCTGATAGCAGAAGTACCACTAAGGCGGTTTTCTGAAGAAACAGACGATGTAGCAGGACTGTTTGCCCCTCTTGGGACATCATCTTCAATTGATTTCTGAAAGGACCTTATTAACTGCTTCAAAAACACTTACATGATTACAAAAGATAAATGAAATATAGTGTAAAAACGCTGTTGAACAACAATGGTTGAAAATAATACCTGAATTAACTATGACATTCCAAACAAAATAATACCCATCCAGAGTTAAAATCAAATCTTACTAATACATTTTGAAGGACCTATGAGGAACTAAAAAAAACACTGTGATCCGACATCATTCCCTTCGACAAAGACTAGCAAAAAATTCTCGAGTTCAAATAACCAAAATGTACCAGGTAATTAATAGGAACTGAACCAGTTGCACCCAAAGCATTGCGTGCTTCCCACCATCCCTCTTCAGGTTTACCAATTATTTCGAGAACATCATTTCTTTGAAAAGGGAGATCAGAAGACCGCTCCCCCTTGAACTCAAATAGGGCAACCATCTAAAAACAAATCAGTAGAGGAAATCTAAACAACAAAATCATGCGAAAACCGGTTGTACAGTTCCAATCAAATATTACTTGACCTTTTGAATTACGGGTTTCGGTAGAGGACGCACCAAACTCACATTGCCAAGAATCCTCATTTTAAAATGGTTTAACAGTGTTGGGATATCAACGAAAGGCTGCCCTGCAATCTAAAAAATACTAACCATAAGTATGGAAAAGTGGAACCAAAAACTATATACCAATTAACAATTACGTCAAAAACTTTTACCTCCACAACCATTTTCCCATTTTCTAGCTCTCTTGGCTCTATTAAATAGTGACGCACCTGCTGGTCACCAGTAAGGTCCTCCCTGAAAAATGTTTCAAAAAAAAGAGTACACGCGCAAATGAATGTGGATAAGGAGAAAGCTGAAATTGCAGCTTCTAAATCCAGAAAAAAACACGCCGTATGCTGTACCGTATTCGTTGAGTTACCAACCCCAGATTAAACAAGTAAACTAAAACTTAAATGTAAAAACGTAATTAGACAGCAGCTACAAACGGGACAAATTAATTTAAAAAAAATTTTACTTTACCACCTCACACTTAAGGCATAACTTCCTGGAGTCGTTGAGTCACGTATAAGAAAAGTACCTAACGGTTGGTCAGCACAAAGTAAACGATTTGCCTCTTCTCGACCAATACGAAAATAAAAATTCTTCCAAGAGTAAGGATCAAAAGATGAAGCTGAATGAGTCATCGAACTGAATTGGTGAAGTTTTGATTAACAAAAGCTATTTTTGCATAAAAATCAATGCTGAGTCATTAAGGTATGACATTTTACATAAACAAGATTTCGGGTTTTCATTACAGGTACAAAATACATTTTTCTATTAAGAGCACTGTATTGTAAAAAAGAAAAAAGACTAAAAGCTGTCCTTCTACTAACAAAACTGTAAATTTCGCAAAAACTAAAACTGCGGAAAATACAGTTTCTTCAGACCACATCCTTGAAAATTAGTTAGTTAAACAGGGAACAAAAAACCCGAGTGACTTTGACATGAAAAGCCACCAGGAAAAAAAAGAAATTAAACGCATATCAAGAACATTGAAATGATACAGCAAATAAGTAAGAGAACATCAAAGAAAAAGATCTGAAATCACCAGACTGGAAAAACCGGAACTAAACTACGAAAATAGTACAGCTGACGACACAATACAAGTAACCAATAAAATTTAAGAAGAACATCTATAACTCTCCAAGTTAAAGACTCAACATTTCATAAAACGACTACCAACTTTCTTCGCCAGAAACGTATTTCTTCATCTAATCACATTTCTAAATGCGATACAAAACCCTAGCATACTGAAACCTGAAGTGACCAACGCCCAAAATAGCCATCCGGCTCCAGATTCAACTGCGGCAATCTAAATTAATATTAGTGAATATGCAGGATAACAGCGATCAATTCAGCAACATATTGGAAATTAGCTGTAGCAGCAAGCGTTCTATCATACAACAGAACAATTTTTAATCCGCACAATGAACTTAGCAAATCCTTTTGCTATGTTCCTAAAATGCCTAGATTTCGAAAATTAATGAAAAGCTTGTCACCAGCCGGTTCACTGCCTTCAACTGTGTGTGAAATCATACGAGGAAATAGCTCCCAAGAAGGCTTAGCCAATCCACTTAAATACTTCAGGGTCCAAAAGCTGTTCAGAGTTAAGTTAATGAAAGAAGAACACACAGCCGTTACGCAAGCAGTTGTACTTGTGACACCTGTTGCAAGCAACCAACCAATAAAGCCTTGCAAGATGTGTAATCATTCATAAACTGCGAACCAAACACCGCTTATGAGTGAAAATTTCAAAAAAAAAAAAAGCAACCATAGAGTACCCTTATCTGGGCAGCAACCAACACGTCGGCATCACCAAGTTCACGTTCAATAATACAACAGAAGGTTAGCGGCATTATTAAACAAATAAATTTATGGCTTTTAAAGAGAAAATTGAATAACAGCATTTAAAGTGCGATGCCCAAAGCAAATGTTTTCAGTGAAGCAAAAAATTTCGGTAATGAAATGGATGCAGTTCTGGCAATGAGCCAATAAAATTGAATGATTGCGTTGCGTTCACACATCGCACAAGGCGTTGCGATCTCTGTTTTCTTACTTCAATCCATAGTCGTCGTCGTTGTCTCCGTTGTCGTAGTCATCGTCGTCGCCGTCGTCATTGTCGTTGTCATCGTTGTTGTTATTGTTGTTGTTCTTATTATTATTCTTCTTATTATTTTTGCTTATATTATTATTATTGTTGTTATTTTTATGTTATCATTATTAACGTTATTGTTATTGTTGCTAATGCTGTTGCTGTAGTCATCGCCATCGTGGTATTATTTATTGTACTGATCTTCGAAATCAATTTTGTTCATCCTTTATACCTGAATTGTTTAGAAGTTATCTTTTTATTTCCTGCCGCCATAGTGGTCTTTACTGTGGTTGTTCCCTTGGCGTTTTGTCTCTTTTTATAGTCTTTCTCTTTTGTGGTTTTCTTGCTGTGAAAGCTGTTGGTGACCGTTGTACCCAGTAAATCTGTAGCTTTTCTCACATACTCCACTTTATCTGGCTACCAGCACAAATGTAACATCTTTTTGACCACATTTGGAGGGACCGGTGTTTAATGTTTATTCAAGTTTCTGTCGAGCATATATGTGTACATAACTGTATAGGTTCATATATCTATGTGTATCTGTAAAAAATAAATAAATATATATATATATATATATATATATTTAT